ATTATTATTATTATTATTATTACAATTTTTCAAGGCTACACTTTAATAGAAAAAAATTGTCCAGAGAGCTTTTCTAAACGAAATTTCTTTTTGTTTTACACTTGTGTCAACAAAATGACAAGTAAATCTGTCTGAGTCTAAGAAATTAAGTATGGCCTACATCTTAACAAAGAAACAAAAAAAATTTGCAGACTTCTAATTATTTTATTTTTTAAAAACATTGTATAGACATATATACCCTAAAAATAGGCACCCACTTTGTAATTTAATGTTGTATATTTATTTCAAAAAGGTATGTTGAAGAGAAGACGGTTTATTTATTCTCAACTACATTTCCCAGATATCCCTGCACTGTGACGACGTAATATTTCTTCGACCGGTTTCCATGGAGCCGTCGGAAGCTCTTTCATGAAGCTAGCGGATTAGCCTCCTGCTCGGTGGCATTAGCGCCTTGATATTGTTGTAAAACAGTCGTTTTAATGATGTCAGAGGAAAACCTGTTTTCATTTGAGCTGCTGGTGGATCATATCAGACTCAAGAATGATTACAAAGTTACAGACAGTCTCGCTGTTGGAGTGCGGCTACTGGATTTCCCTACACTGCTAATCTATCAGCGCCCATCAACGAGTCTAGGCTGTAAACAGTCTGCGCAAAAGCAGCGGGATGAACAGCAGGTGTTCCTCTTTAACAGAGGCAAGTCTTGTTTATTCAAAATGAACCTGGACTCTCTGCACGTCCATCTGTCTAGCAGCCCTCTGTATGCCATGGTGCTGGATGTAACTGAGGAGCAGAGCCCCAGATTGGTTGGCTCCTCTCTGGTATCTCTGGCTGAAGCGATGGACAGAATCAAGCTGCTTTCCGGTCCCTCTGCTCACAGCGGAAAGGGAGTCGCTGCTATAAGCAACCTCACTGGGGAGAGGATTGGAACAATATCCCTGAGTTATAAGCTGGGGTGTCTAGGAGCAACTTTACTTCCACACATCACAGAGGGGAGGGGGGTAGAAAGCACCAGCACCCCTGGAGGTAAAAACCAAGAACTTTCCAAGGAGAAATGCAACTCTTATAGCATGTGTTCTCCCAGAGGGAACGAGTCCGAATTTAGCATCAAAAGCAATGATGCAGGAAATTCACACACCCTGTTAGAAGAGAGTAGGGAGGGTGATTGTGCCGAAAGCCAAACTAAAAACACATTTGAGGAGGATTTAACTGTTTTCTGCCCCCCTCATCTTTACTACAGTAATGCTACACAAGCAGAAAGTGGACATTCAGAGCCGGATTACAGATTGCTAAATATGGAATCAGAAGCTTTTCCATTTGAAGATGCATTCTGTGAGGTTGAGGAGCATAAAAAGAAAGTTTCAGCTTCTAAAGACGTACACCAGGAGATAATGCAAACTACAAAAACATCAAGCAGCCAAGAGGCAAGCGGGGTGACCACAAATATTCTCAGGGAAGCCCTGCAGCAGCTCCCACTTTTAAGCGCACTTGTGTCTGAACTTTCACAGTTAACCATTCATCCCAATCCAGCTCCAGTTACAGGGCCAGCTTCGGAAAAGTATGGAAATTCACCATTAACTCATCCCCAGCACAAAACTACACAGCTCTCTGACACTCACTTAAATCCTTTACCTCCCCCAAGAAATTGCTCTACGCCGAACCCTGTAAAGACGCAAGACCACCAAAAACAGACTTTAAGCTCCAGGAAATCTCAAATGAAGAAGCTCAAATATGGAACAACTAAAACATTTAATTTAAGGCTAAAGCAAATTTCTCCTCGCAAAGCGAACCATCGTGAATGCGTAGAGTTAAAGAAAAGTGCCATGCAAACAAGAAATGATAAAGAAAAGAAAAGGTCAAGACTCGCAACTTTGAAGTCCAAAGACAGAGAACTTCCGATAAATCGGGGTTATGACTTAGATAAAAACATCAGGACAGTGGTGCAAAGTGGATGTGTTGATGCTGCTCTAAAACAAACTGTCACTCTGAAACCAGAAACACAGCAGATCATTCCAGAAAGTCATGAACAAACGGTTTCAGAATATTTTCCTTCACAGAAAGAGCCCAAATGTATTTCCATCCACATTCCCAGGCTGCATAGTGACAGAGCTCCTCTGAGCAAAGACGCATACAAGCATCAAAGTGAGTCTGATCAGTCAGATTCTCAATCTGAAAGGGTGAAATTCAGAGCTCCGGCCCCTGATCTCACAAAGAGAAAACACGCCAGGAGCAACAGTCCAGAGTCTGCAGAGAGTAGTAATATTGAAAATGAAGCAAACTATGCAGATGACTTTGACAGTCTTGAATCTAGCAATGCTTCCTCACCTAAATCTGATAAAAGCCCTGCGCCATCTACAGGCAGGACTACAAAAACTCTCAACAGCCCTGATTCCAGCACCTCTGATTCAAGATCAGGCGGTTTCCAGAAGAGAGCAGCTCTCCACCCTGTTCCTTCCAAAACCCTTAAATCCCCCAACAGAGATCTGATGGGTACGCACATCATCCAACCACGCACCCGCTCCTCAGCTCCCGGCTTTTCTTCCGACACGGATGATGATGATGATGACATGAAGAGGCCATCTTCCTCAGAAATTGTTTGCTTTAGAAAACAAGAAAGTGAAAAAATGGAGCAGAGCTCTAGTGCAGAGAGTGTTTCAATACCAAGAAGTGAAAAGGAAAAATTACCCAGGAACCAAAACCTTTTAGGAGGACTTCCTGCTGAATCGATATCCTCTCTTGAAGATGAAGAATTGGAGGATGAGCTTGGATCACTGGATTTTAGAAAAGGATACCAGCATATCTCTGAACTTGTAGCCAGCAAGCTTCCAGGATACACAATGTAGAGAATACTGTTACGACTAAATGAGGAAAATACATCGTTATGCTTCACAAAACCACTATTTTAATAAAGACAAGTTTTGCGACTATTTTTGCATCTTTTGCTTATTAATTACAAAATTATATAAGAAATTTAATCACCTGCAGAGGTCTTTTTTTAACAAAAAGTGAGAGTTTTTGCTTCCACCAGACAACATAATGCAGATAACTTTAATATAAATATGTCTCCAACGTGTTTGCGTGCATCTTAACAGCATACAAAATAGCAGTATTTCTATTTGATTTTCTTTATATTATGCAATATTTTTACAGCTGAACCTTTTGTAAAAAAAAACTGCTTTTATATCTCCATTCTTATAGAAAGATACTGATAAGATGTGTATCATTTAAAAGTGTAGTTTGACAAATAAACTCGTCTTAATAAAGAAATGAATTTCCCACTATTAATGATAACGTATGATTCCTACAGAAGTAAAATAAAATAGATAAAAATATATATATACATTTTTACTTTCTCTTTAAATGCTTTAAAAACTTGCATATAGTGGGTGATTTTGATTTTATTAAAAACTTAAGGGGTTTAAACTGAATGCGCATGCATTAACCCTGTTATGAAGTGCCAAATTGGACAAAACCTGTATTAAACTGAGACCGATCATGAAAAAAAAAAAAAAAAAGTTAAGAGCAGCTTTTGAAAACTGAGCAAGGCTGGCTCAGAGTGCTGAGCCAGATATTATCCACTCTGTTGCTGTCTCCCTGGACAAAAAAAAAATAAAATATCTCTTAATTAATCTTAATCTCTTAATGAAGAGGATAGTGAATATTTTATATTTTGGTTCAGGGATTCAATTCAAGTAGATCATACAGTCACATTAGCTCAAATTTTCTATTTAAGGGAAACCAACTGATTTCACCGTCTCATGGACTCTTCAAATCACTCACACCATGCATGCATGTGGTAACAGTGGAGAGGAAAACTCCCTTTTAACAGGAAGAAACCTCCAGCAGAACCAGACTCAGTGTCAGCGGCCATCTGCTGAGGCCGACTGGGGTTCAAGGAGACAGAAGCAGACATAGAAAAAGAGGCAGAAATACAAAAGATAACTGTTAATAACTAGCTCCAAAAGAGGTTCCGTCCAGGAAAGACACACCAAGGAAGACTAGCACTGAGCCAATTCCCATGTTGGAGGAGCTACATGGCTGTACATCTTATTTTGGCATTTGACCATTTAGATGAGTCCTTGAAAGATATATTACCTACTGTAAATTCAGTTGGGGAAAAAGTTTAGTTCATTAAAAAAGGTAAAAAGCTAATTGAAAAGTTTAAAAGTTAATAAGGCTTGTTAACAATTATATTTAGGTTTATAAACTAAAAAATGTAAGTGCCAGTATCAGCATTTATGCCTCTAAGGTTGTGCAGCAGTGATCAAGGTTGTGCACTTTTGTTGTTTTTTCTTAATATATTCGGGAAAGTTGGCGGTTCTTGTCATTACGTTGACATTCATTTATGCCATCAAAATATTCATACTTTTTTGAATGTAACCAAAGTAACCAAAATAAGAAGCTGACACTTATTTTGGGGCGGTCCCAAAAAAAGGTCTTGTCCTGGATTCCAATAACACTCTTGGCTTGAAATGTTGATTTTCAAAGTAATTCACTGAGTGCCCTATAAAGGCTTAAGAAAGAAGATCATCCAAAGAGTACGGAAGAGGATTAGGGCCGCTGAAAAAAAAAAAAAAAAGTTAACTGATTTTTAAATATTATTTCAGTTTAATATGGGAAAAAAGTCAGAATTCTTACTTTGTTTTCCTGAATTTTGACTTTAATCTCTTATAAATGATACCTTGCGATTTCTTCGTAAGCAATACATTAGAAAGAGTACATTCTGCTGAAATATTATAAAAATTTTGACCCCATTTTATCGCTTATTGTAAAATATTCAGCGATTAAAGTTAAAGGTGCAATGCGCATGCGTTAACCCTGTGTTTACGGAAGTGCGTCTGTAGCCGCTGTCCTGTAGATAGACAGCTGGGATGTTCAAACACGTGTTTCTGACCGGACCTCCAGGTAAATAAAAACACCAAAAACACACATATAGATTCATGACACCCACACTGACAGTTTCTGATCTCTGTTTGTTAATTATGATCATTTTCCGCTACCAGCTGATTAAAAACACGACAATTGGAATATCAGATTAGACCGACAAAAGAAATCATTTATAATACTGAAATGTCAGCTCAGTGAAAAGTTTATCAACATTTTTATTATTAACAAAAAGCCTAATCGACACACATATTCTAAGTGGCGACAGGAAACCCTGTCAGGGTGAGATGAGGATAGGTGCAGCTAAAGATTGGAGGTTTTTAGAGGATTTAACTGAAACAAAGATGCTAAATGTGGATTTTTTTATAAAACAGTAAATGTTACTGACTAACATTATGTGGTTTGTAGTTCTGTGGAACATTTTTCTCACATTATACATTATTTTCTACATTCAGCAGTAATGGGCCCTACTAAAATACTTACATCTTAAATATATTTAAAACTAAGAATTTCTCAACTTTGTTCATAAATTATTCTCTGCAGTTCAAGCAAACTAAACAATGGGGAACTAATACGTTATTACTGGATTACTGGCACTGATGCAGGAACCAGTGCAATCGAAACCATTGCAAACTACACTGTGTATGAATATTTGGTTATATGCTAAGGATTAAAAAGCTTCATTCATTATTTTATTAGTTTTTCTTACAATTGACAAAACAGCTAAACCATTCAGACCTTCCAGGAGGCTGTAGATTTTCTAAAAGCTCAACATGGCAGGAGACAGCACTTCTCTGGATGTTTCATTTGGAAGGTATAATGGAAATTAAGTTTTTAAACATATTCAGTGGACCAACATAAAGATAAATGAATAAGATGAATAATAATAAAAGAAGAACATCCCTATGGTTTCTCCTCTATGAATCCAGGATAAATGTATTGTTCTGCACATCCTCTCTCTCTGCGGCTGCTCTTTTCTTAGGTGGCTGTTCTTTTGAAAAATAAGATGCAATGCTTCTTTTTCTTTTTGTGGACCTTCCATGGGTTTGAGAGACAAACCTACGGTAAAAGCTTTAAGAGTTAAAATATTTGTGTTGGTTTAATTACTCCTAAATTCCAATAGGAGATTATTAAACTAGACTGAGCAACAATAATTTATCTTGTGAGCAAAACATGGACTAAAACTGGGACTAAAAAAACACCAGGTAAAGAGAAAACAAACCATTTAATGTAATCCTACACTCAGTCTCCACATCAATAATTTAAGCTGGCTGCTGTATTATTGAATTCATATTTACTCAAGTACTAGATTGCTTAAAATCTCTAATAATTTACAAAGTGAATTATCCTA